ATTTTTTTATTTCTACCAAGTTTCGTTGTAATCCGTCCAGCGTTTTTGGTGTTAAATAAACAAACAAACCACAAGTTCCTTGGCGATAATTAGCAATCCACAAAAGAGTTTATTTAATTATGATTAAGCTAAAAACATTAGCACATTTTGGATGTATTACGATTATGCAACAGCTTATTTGTTCACTAAAAAAGTCTTCGAATCAGAAATGTAATGTATTTATGTTGTGCAACAGTGATACATCTGCAGAGGGCCGTCATGCCGGAGGTTAACCTGAACAGACACAAAGGTGCTCTAAATAACCCAGTCCATTTTAGCAATGTGCCAAAAGAAAAAAGCATTTCATTGTAATGGAAACTTAAAAAGACCCCCAAACACACATACACCCCCTTCACACACACACAAACACGCACGCCCTGCTGACACCTCAGTGTGGCCACAATTTCACCTCAAACCTTTCCATTCACTGACTGCCAGGCCAGTGTTTCCACTGACGGATGTTTTTTGAGGCCAGTGTGATGTTCAAAAGACACAGAGGGCCTGAGGAACAATGTGTTAGCTACTTTAGACCACGTCTTCTGTGGGATACCTGAAGTACAGCTCAACTCTTTTTATTCAATGCAATTTGATTGCAGAGGTCTGATCTGCCCTAACAGGGCAAGATTTAACAATGCACATGTTGGCATTAAACCAGTAAAAGCCAGTAACAGATCTGGATAATGGATATTTATGTGCTTGAACAATACAAAGTTCCTCCTTCCTTGTGTTGTAGTAACACACACAAACACATGCACACACTCCAGCAGGAAGAGTGTGGGTGTTTGGGAGCAGCTGCATGGAGAAGCATCAGACCCAGCTTCCTCCTGGTGCAACCAGCACCATGTCTCTTCTCTTTTCTCTCCTCCCTCTATCTGCTCATTTACTTCACATCTATTTCCTCTCTTCCTCTTATGTCGTTATCTCTCTCCCCCTCTTACACAGACAGACACATTTATCCAGTCAACACCTTCATTGCGCCATCTCATGTTGGCCCTTATCAGAAACTGAACAGCAGTTTCAATCTGCAGCGCTGGCAGGAATTAGCTGGCTGAAGCAATCGCAGAGCAAAAAAAAACAAAACAGTTTGTGCATGTTGCAATGCAAACTCTGCATGTGTGTTTATGTGTGTGTGCGTGTCCTGTTTCTGTCCTGTTTCCTCAGAATTGTAACACATTGATGTATCGTGACCTGAAAGCCTGAATGTTGCACAACCCTTTACTTGCCTGTCTTCTGTGCTAATCGAGGTTTTGTTGGCAAACGTTAAAAACACACCTGTGTGAGGTGAGGCTCAGATGACTTAAGGTACAGATGGACGCAGCAGATAAAAGCCAGAGAATGAATATAAAAGAGAGGAGGGGGGGGTTGGGATATGGAAATGTAACTGTTACATTAGAGTCTTAGCTGTAAAATGTCAAAGTTTGATTGTTGCACAAGCATCTTTGTAGTGGTTTGATTATGAACACAACTCTGCATATGTCAGCGTATACGTTTATACGTTGCACTATACAGTGGATCAAGGCTGGTGGAAACTTCCTCCAACAGGAGACTGCACAGGTGCATCAACATCTCGGTTTTTCACTTTCCTTTCTAATTTTCTGTTCTTGTTCTAAAACTAGCACTCTGCACCATTCCAGCCAGCTTTCCTCAGTCTTCTACTTTCCTTTAACAACTCTCCTTAAGCTCCTATCTTGTCAGCAGCACACCCCCAGTGAGTGGTTACTGAGCAGAAGACACTCAGCAGTTATTTCTGTGTTTCCTGTGTGTCATGTGGTGGTAAGCTTGAACTAGCGAGCATGGCTGACAACTTGCAGGCTTCCCAGGTGCAGAGTGTCACTGTGTGGGCCGTCAGCCAGAAAGCCAGTGGGCCAGTTAGCGAGCCAACCAGGGCCCTGCAGCACGTGCTGCCCTCCACCCCCCACCCTTAACCCATCGCTATTCCCAGTGGAGCGAAGAACAGGCATGTGACGTTTCCACCATGGGAAAGAACGCACCTCTGTGTGCTGCGAGCGTGTGGGAGCCTGTTTTCAAAATATATGATAAGGGCATTGTTGCACCGATCTAACCTGTTAGGATGATACAGTTTGTGTAAAAGTTTGAATGTGTTATCAACCTGTCCACGCCTGAGACACAGGTACTTCTCTGCACGTCTACTGTATTTAGGATTGCGCTTGTCGTTCTCTCCTGGAGTTCAGGGGTCAGCCTGCGTAGCTGGAGAAGACCTCGAGTGAAACCGGCATGCAGGGGCACCAGGGTTCGCCTCTTCCCCCAGCTCGCCCCCAGGCCGCAGATGCAGCGACCCAGACAAGGGCTGCACTTCTCTGGGCAGCACAGAGACACTGCTGTGCTCCGGTTCCTGGGGCCCTGACGCTCTGATTGAGACCCTGCGCCCATGCAGGAACCAGAGGGAGGGGAAGGGAGAGCTGGGGAGGGCATGCTAACACATCTGGCATCTGCAAAACCCGGCACACAAATATCATATCGTACTGAGAGAAATGTACGTGCCGTTTAGGGAAACACAAGCTCAGTCTCAGCTAGAAGATGTACACAACCATGTGCCTGCTACAATGCAGGAAAGTATTATTCGAGAAGCAGGACAGGAGGGTACAACAATTCTCCAGCTGGTAGGACCACATCGGTACCAAATACTCAGCTATTGTTCTATTTATAAAGCTCACCAAAAAATGCAGTGTGTTGGTGTCTTATCTAAAGAGGAATAACAACACTATATCGTCTCAATGATCCAGGTTCTTGTACAATTACATACAGTAAGATCTATTGGAGCTGTCAGGGGGAAGATAAATGAAAAGCTGTGAAAGGAGGACACAATAGAGAACATATCAGAGTGCAAGAAATTTGTGTGGGTGCACGTCTCTGCAAGGTGTCTTTCTGGAGTGTTTGTTTCTCTTGCGTGGGCGCTACCGTGCACATTAGACGGCAGTACAGGACGAAGTTAGAGGTAGTGGTTGGGACGCGTTTGTGTGTGTGTGTGTGTGTGTGTGTGTGTATGTGGGTAAGAGTGTAGAATGCTTCTGATAAACAACCAGCACCTCCTCTCTGTTTCAGCCCACTCTTCCACACTACCACGCGTTTTCACAAATCTATTCTTTACCTCACATAACGGGGCAATGCCTACTCTTTATGAGCTTAGAGAGTCTGACATTGAGGACAGGAAAAGCCAGATAAAAGAGGAGTGTATATAAGAGTATAATAGAGTAAAATATTAAATTCACCAACATGGCGGTGCCCATGTGCCCCTGAGCTGCCTCCTCTCTTCAGGGTGAGCAAACACAGGTCTGTGAGAGGCGCAGCACCGAGCCGGAGTGGTGTGCTCTTTGTGGCCAGCTGTGGGGCCACTGAAGGCCCATCTGCAAACAATAGGCTCTGTCTGAAGGGCACGCACAGCCTGGTTCGTGTCCTGCCCTGCCTCACTGTGTTTGTGTATGGATGCGTGTATATGAGAGTACCATGTGTTTCCATGCCCCATTTTAATCCATCACAAAAGGAATACACAGAAAACATACACTTAGACATGCAGCTACGTAAATGTCACGTTAATATGTCTGCATTAAGCTTACCACAGCAGAGCTCTTCCTACATATAATACACTCCTGACCTTTATATTTTCATATAACACCTCTCTGTTATGTGGCAGAAATAAGAATCATGCCGTGCTTCACCAAGGCTCCTCATGCTGAAGACAGATATCATTGCAAGGGGGGGGGAAACAGATTTCTTCATGTGATTAAAAGTTTCACACCATCGTAGAAATGCAGATCGCTTTATTAAAAAGGTTATCTCCTCTCGCACACTCGTTGAAACACAACAGCATGCAAAAAAATACAGACGGGCTAGAAAACAGCTAGCTGGCACAACCACATATCACTCAGCGTGGTTCGATCAAGCAAGCCGCAGCTTCACACGCCCCGGCACACACATACACACACACACACACGTGTACATACACAGACACACGCACACAAACACAGAGGCTGCTGCATGCAGGCACATGCAAAAATATCTGTCCCAATATTAAAATAGGCCCTGAGAGGTTGCACCTGCACCTGTGCCCTGGTCCACACCTACACACAGGTGTCAGGATGTGACACATACACACAGAGAAAGAAAGATAGAAGAGAGGGAGGGGGAAAAACAAGAGCGGGGTGAATCACACTACTGTGGTCGACCGAGAAGCTTTTCTTCCCCAGATATCATCTCTGTATGTTGGAGTCAAACCATGAGTGTGATTTTAATTTTTTTCAAAACATTTCAGGTTAGTGTGTTTAATTATAACAAGCGTCGCACACAAAGCTTGTTCGGTAACTGATGGTCGCTCCATGATATATAATTGTATGATGTAAAATAGTACTTTTATTCATAATTATGGGTTGTGGGGGGGGGGGGGGAATTAAGCAAAACGTTTATCATATTGCATACACGAGTGCCTCGGGTGTGTCATTGTGCAATCCAGAATGAGTAGACTCTGAAATGTGCGTGTGAGTCATATCCATTTGTCCCACTTAGAAGCAGTGACATATATGCACGGTCAGACACCTGCCTGTATGAACACATACAAAATATCTGTTTAGATTGAGATTACTTCACACACATCAGTTATTTGTGATCAAATAAAAAGAGCAATCAAAAACAGCATTAAAGTCAAGCTAATTGTGTTTATCTTGTTTGTAAAATCTTACGATCATATTCAAATCTGAATTGAATAAATCTTATGAATTGTTACTCTGACATTAACGTCTGAATTCTTACTGTGTTCTGGCTTTAGGATGGATGTGAATAAGATAAATGTGCTGGGTATGAAAGCCAGTGAGGCTGATACATTTTCTTTCAATACACAAACTGTAAATTTGTTTTCTTTGCCACAGCTAACATTGAAAAAAGAAAAAAAAAAACTCAGCTGCTATTTTTTGAGAAATGTCGCCACCCAGTGGAAGCTGAAAGCTGCTACAATCTAACAGACCCTGATTCGCTTAAAATCTGAATTCTGTTATTTTTTATTTACCTTTTTATATTTTCCTTTCTTATCTTTATATTATACATAAATCTCTTTGAATCTGAACAGCGCTACACAAAGACAACTACTGTATGTGTTCTCCATGACTGATGATAAGTAAGCACTTACTGAGGACTTAGCAATTAGTTTAAGTTAAAAATACTGACACATACATTAGGAATATTCATACACATAAAAACAGTCAATGACTCATTTAGTACCTATACAAAAAATACTTCATTGATCCCACCTGATCCCTTCTCTTAATTTATTCTCACACTTCATCCTCTGTGGCTCCGATGGGACACGAGACGCCGGTGCCTTTGAGGACGCAGGAGCCTTTAGGTACTTTCTTCAGGTACTGCTGGTGGTAGTCCTCAGCGTAGTAAAACTGCTGCCCCTCCCGGATCTCTGTTGTGATGCGACCAAAGCCTTTTTTATCCAATTCCTGGGGGTAAAAATACAAACATAAATTGGAAAAAAAATACTATACCGTTGTTAATTAATCAAAATAACTAAACTAATTCTAACTAAATCAACAGCAAAGAATAATAATATTCTTATAATTTTAAAAATAATAAAGATTGACAACAGGACAGCTCCTCAAAAGTAAAGCCAAAGCGTCTTTATTGCCACCTGGTGGCTGGCTGCAGTACACGTCATAAACCCTGCCTCCCTGTTAGTGGACGGGACTTGGACCAAACTAAAAAGTCAAACACATTTTTCTCAGAGAAAGTTTCTGTCATTTAAATCTTATCATACTGATGTTTGTTCATGTGCTAATTATTCTAGTAAATTTGGCTTGAGTTGATTATTCAAAGTCACACAAAACAGGGTAAAACGTTAATATTGACAGCAGATACAAGACTGACTTGTGATTGGTCAATGCGTGTATTTGGTGGCACTCAAGTACTGTGGCTCCATCCCCTGGTCTGCGCACACTCTCGCTCATAATGCGCAAGATGGCAGTGTTCATACCTGGGATATTTTTTACTTTATTTCTCAATAGTAAGAGGAAGATGAGAGATTGCCATCTTTATATACAGTCTATGTTTTAAATCATACATTTACACAAAGAATTTCCTGTGTACGAATTGTACAAGATTGAATTCCATGTGGATCCTACTTTCTGTTTTAATCAGACATAAACAGGTTAAAGCCATTTTTATATCCGTATAATCTGTTTTTATAATATAATATAATATAATAATATATTTTAGTTGCAGCAATGTTCAAGGTTTGAATCACTAAAACATACGTGATATCTCTGATAAAAAGTATTCAGCATCTTCACATTCCTGCAAACTGTTTCCGTCACCAAAGTCTTGGCGTAGATTGAGCTCTCCTTCCTCCGAATGAGCACAGCTTTTAAGTGGTTTATTCTGTAGAGTATTGGATGTGAACTTTCAATACCTATCACTAATACAGTAAAGAGTTTGTGCTCCTCAACTAGAAAGCAGGGTGATTGAGTGACAGAAGAAAGGAACATCTTTCTTTTTTTTCTCCTGCAGTGCTGCTTGCCTCTGTGGCTCTCTCTGTGGGACGACGCATCAAAAGGTACCCGCTCTCTTTGAGAACTCCTTAAGACACTTTCACACTTACACTTTTCTAAACATCTCGAGAGAAGGCTTCAAATAGCACTTAAAAAAGAAGAAGCACACCCGCTCATAGACACACATACACACAATAAACACCTCTGACAGAGGTATCAAAGGTATACCTGCTGTGCTGAGTGGTTCTTTCTATCTAATAATACAAGCGCTCTTCCCTCTGTAGATCAGTGCTCCTGAGAGCTGACAAAACAGCACATTGTAGGTGCACTGAGGACTGTCTGTGGGCAACAAGTAGCTTGCATGTAGCGGGCTGCACCTTAGAACAGCGCGCAGCACAGAGGAGCTCAGCTCTGTGGAGGCGTCGATTGGCAGAGTTTGGCGAGCACAGTGATACTGAAGCCAAATGTTCTCAACCTGCTCTTATCAGACTTCAGCATGCACACTGTCTCTCTATGATACAGTCATGGATGCTGTTGGGACTACTGTTCATCTTAAGGTGAGGGAACTGCAGAACTTTAAAATTTGCCATTTGAGTTTGTAGCTCACTCCTTCATGGAGGCTGCGACCAGGTTGTTTTCATGGAGGTTACGATGGATTCTATGCAGACATATTTGTAAAACAGGAAAAGTGTCTTAAAAGAAGAAGTTAAGCTGTATGATCTATTTTGCAGCTATATGGTGAATATGGTATTTACTTTTAATCTGTTGGCAAAGTGAAGTAATGATTTTCAGAAGGCACAGGGTTCAGGATTAAGCTACAATAATCAATAGTTTGACATGAACAATGGCTCAAATGATGTGAAATATAAAAGTTGTTGCTTTAAGCAATGGGTTGGACCCACAGAGAATGATAATGACACTGAATACAGCACATACCTCCACCAAGGCCCAGCAGTCCCCTTATGAAACCATTTCAATTCTCTTCAAATTCTATATATGCACAAAATTGGACACACTTAAATAATGGCCCTCTAAACATGTCTGATTTCTTTCATTGAGATCTATTACATTTTTTCTGAGAAAACAGGCCGATCTCACAATGCACAGAAGGTGGAAAAAACATTTCTGGATTCCTGACCCATACCACACCAAGTTTTGTGGTTACGTGTCCAGTAATTTTTCCAACAAACAAAGCAACAAACTCACAACCCCCTGGGCGGAAATAATCATGGTCATACTTTGCAGATGTTAGCCCATAGTTTTGGTTCCATCAACCATAAAGTTCCTGATTTGTAAACTTTCATTGCTCTCAATACTTTTTTTCCAGCAGCATTTGTTTTCAGTAAAAAAGTTCTAATAAACCCACTGCACAAAACCTGCATCAGACTACACACAGACAAAGTAAGAGATTGTGGTGGAGCATTTCACAGCTAATGAGCCGAGATATCTGGCTCATTAGCTGAGAAATCCAGGAGTTAGCTCAGTCTAAAGTGAGCCAAGGGGTGGGCAGACAAAGTTGATTCCTTAATGGTCAATATCTTCCATGTCAACATCATTGGCTGCTTTGCTGACACGATCTCAACTGCATGGGAGGACACAATATCATGTTGACAGGTTGCTTTGCTGCCACCAAGTGGCCAACAAATATCAAGAACATCTAAAGACTTTTTTTTTTATGGTCCCTAGATGAAAAACTGGATCAACATGAGCCTCCGGTTCAGCTTTATTAAGTCTTTGAAACTCATTCTTTCACTAGCTTTAAACCAACTGGCTCAAAATCTCCCATTGGTATTAATGTGGTCACATCAATGTAACCAAAAGCTGTTTTAGAAAGTTTAAATATGTCAGGAAGAAAATTCAGTATACTGAACCCTGACAGTAGTCTAATTTTAAAATAACAATTAAAAATGTAAAGTCTATAAAATAACCTCCATTATCATTTAAAATCTCCCCAGGATGATGACATTTCTAAAACATCATAGAAAAAGTACCAAGCACCTGACGTTAGTGTCCTCAATAATAACCATGTCTCACCGCCATCTATTTGTTTCGTCAACAGTCTGTTTATCCCTTTGTTTTGAATTCTCCCAGTACTTCCTTTTAAATTACATGACAGATGAGCTGTTTCCTGCTGAAACACAAGCCAGAGAGAAGGAACATGTTTCATGATCTTTCTCTGTTGCTGGAACTAAACCGAAATAACCAATTATTTTGGCCAGAACTATTGTTTCCAGTCGGCACCTCCAATAACTCGGGCAGCTGGAATTGAGCATGATTTTTCTAAAAAGAAAAACTGTCATGTCATTTTTAAGAGGAAGTACAGTCAGTGAGGGGCAGGAGGGTAATGTGTGATTTTGTCCACATGGAGGCAGTATGGTATTAAGTGTGTGTGTGTGTGTGTGTACGCGTTTGTGTGTGTATGCTGGAGGTGATGCAGTGGAGTCAGTAAATCAAAGCTCCGCGCCCCACAGAGAGGCTGAGGCAGCAGCTGACCTCCAAGTCCTCAGTGGCTGCCGCTACAATGTGAGGGCTCTAATCTCCCTGCAGGAAGGACCCAACGTCCACGCGCCAAAGTGCAGCACAAACGCAGCGCTCGCCACGTCGCAGTGGCATCACGAGCGCTGACATATTTACCTTTTAAATGAGTGTGTTTGAGTCAGAGCAACCCATTTCCCCTGCTTATATCCAACAGCATTGTAGTATAAAACGCCCCACACATGCATGCAGACCTGTGAATCATGGCCTAATTAATCAGTCATCACCAAACCAGGGTACAGTGAAGCCTCCAGGGCACAGGGTGCTGCTTCACGTGAGGAGAACACTACGTCCAAGAAAAAGCTCTGCTATTCCAAGCAAGCATTAAACCCCCCACACCACTCCCTCGCTCTCCATCCAACCAACCCTTTACAGCAGTCACAACACGGCGGCCATTTTAGATCTATAAATCAGAATGCATGGCGTCACGCCACTGTGTATAACCTTATGTGGCTTTGCTTTCTCTCTCTCTCTCTCACTGCAGCAGCAGCAGCAGAGGAATGGAGGGAAGGATGTGGAGGTTAACAATGGCAAAGATGGAGGAAATTTGCAGAAGGGAACGAGCGAAATAGACGTCGTCAAGTTGAGCATTTTGATGCCGCTGATGATGACGTTAAAATTTGTGCATACATACATGTGGGTGAGGAGTAAAACCAAGGAATAGGTTGTGTGTGTGTGTGTTTGTGTGTGTGTACGTACTACTCAATTGTGGTGTCATAAAAAAACGCCTTATGGAGACTCACCTCCTGCAGGTCCCCACAATGCAATAACATCAGGGCTACATTGTAAGGTTAAGACATGGTTACTGGTTAAGGTAATGATTATGGTTAAGATTAAAAGTGGTCGAGTTAAATCCAGAGAGAATGAATTTAAGTCAATGCAATGTCCACTTAAGTGACTAAAACATGTTTGTGTGTGTGTGTGTGTGTCTGTGTGTGTGTGTTTGTGTGTCCAGGGCTGCGCTCACTCAGCCCAGTCAGCCCTTCCTTTCTTCACGCCTGTCGGAAAGACTCCCCTGTCAAAGACATGGCTGAACGGGTGCATCTCTCTCCCTCTCCCTCTCTCCACCTTTCTGAATCTCTCCATCTCCCTCCATTGCTGATTCTCTCCCATTCTCTTTCTCTCTCTCTCTCCCCCATGTGAACACAGACCATCTATTCGTGCTACCAAGTCGTCCCTGCTATCCAGCCAAGCGAGAGAGAGCGAGAGAGAGAGAGCCCCCTTTCGCCATCGCCATCACCAGAGTCAGCCCCGGGACACAAATAGGACATGACACCCTGAGAGAGGGTGGAAGTGGCGGTGGAGGAAGAAGAAAGGGGAGGAGAAGGAGGAGTACAAAAAATGTACGCTCTCCACTCTTCCTTTAACCCACTGTCTTGTTTCGCCCTCTTCGTCTTTTTTTTTTTCCTGTCGGAAGGCCCATGGCTGGAGTGGTGGGGAAGAGAGTTTGTGACACCCGATGACTCATGGCAGAGACATTTGAAAAGGGATATGACCTCAATTCGATGATTTATGTAATCGCCCATTAATCCACTCCTGTTACTGGTGTATGGTTTACTACGTCTTTACAACTATATCACTGCATTTCTTTTAAAATCTCTGCCGTCTCTGTCTTGATTTCCAAATTAAAATTTGCTAAACTGGCACAACAAAAATTTAGTACAGGAAAACTATGTCGTACAAGATTTACAAAGCATCTAAGGCAAACATTTTGATCTTTTACTATGCTGAAGTATCAAAATCACTTTAAAAAATCTATTACAGTTGGTCCCGTTGATCTTAGTATCAGAAATACTTAATTGATCCACAGGGGGAAATTGGGTTTTTGTTAGTCGCTGCAGCCAAGAACAGAAATAAATACAGACCAAGACAATAACGATAAATAGAAATATAAAACATAACTTGAAATTGAAATTTTTTTGATTCAAGTGTGGTTGAAGGCCTTCATCACCTGCCATTATCCCTCCTATCCCCTGTGTTCCCTTTGCCATAAAATGGAAGATCCTCTGTGTGATGTAGGAGAAATGGTTGAAAATGGCATAAAATAAAAATACAAAAACTTTAAAATTTTAGTTAAATAAAGCCTAACTCAGACAAAAGACGTTAATGCAGAACAGTGATAACTTTTGTTCACCGCAGCCGTACAACGGAACAAGCGTGTCAACATCTTAAAAATGTGAAAACGCTTTGAGTACTGCAGATAGTGGGACAACGCCGGTTCATAGAATGTGTCTGTGCCTGAAAACACATGACATGGTCTGACATGATACTTATCAACTAGTCCGCTGCGCCACGCTTGCCCTCAATGACCTCAGGGAGGGAGAGAGAGATGGAGAGAGGGTGAAGGAGAAGGACGGACAGGGAGAGAAAAGAGGCACGGAGATGGTGCAGAGACACGCAGGGGAGAGAGGGAGCAAAGTCAAGGAGGAGAGGAGCATGGGAGATTACAGAGAGAGTGATGGAATGAAAACAGTAGTGAAAGAGTGAAAAACAAAACAAATAGAATAGTCTGAAAGAGAGAAAAGGGTGCTGGTGGAATTGCTATGCTTCTTGTTGCTGTGAGGATCTATAAAATGCCCTACATGTGAAACAGCCATGTACATCAGTATGACTGTGTGTGTGTGTGTGTGTGTGTGTGTGTGAGCTAAAGGATGTCTATTCCCTCTGCGTGTCTGTCTATGCACAGAGGATGAAGAGGGTTTTTTTTCATCTCTCTTTCTCTCTCTCAGCGCGGGTCAGGCATCCATTTTAGCTGGGCTCTAATCTTCAGCGAGCGCGCCTACATTTTGTGAGCGAGGAAGCCAACACTCCTACATTTTGAGAGGGAGAAGATGACGCACGCACTTCAGTCTCGGAGCGAGGCGGTGAGCGCTGCAATATTTTTTGTTTTTCTTTTCTCTTCTTTTCCAGGGCAGACAACAAGTTTCTCAACATCTGTAGATGGAGAAACGCAGAGATCAGTCAGAAACGCTTTTTAGAGATTCAAAAAAGTTATTTCTGAAAATTAAGCCAGTAAGATTTTCTATTACTGTCTTGTTTTGGTCTCGTTATCATCAATAAGTTTTGCACATAATCAAAAGTATTGAGATTTACATGTAAAACCCAGACAGACTGTAAAATGTGAGAGCCGGGGAAGAGTTGGAGGAGTAAATCCGACTCTTGAACACTTTCCAAAACGAGAGACGAGAGCTTGTGTGACTTCGAGCCCGATTACAAAACCTGCTGATGCTGTGCCCCCTTTTAAATAAAACCCCAGGGCTTCTCCTCGAGACTTCTAGCCTCGAACGATTCCCCATTTTTTTTTCATACATCATCCAAACCCCTGCGTTCCCCCCTCCACCCCCCCTTTCAAGCTCATTAAGTTAGGATGCCTTATCAGAGGGCACACTCACCCCTCCAAGGCCCTACACACATGCATGTGTGACAGACACAATATTCAAGCTGGCTTGATAAAGCCTATTGTTCCACACACACACACACACACACGGAACCCCTGTGCTCCCGTTTTTCTCTCCAAACCCTAACCCATCTCTGACCCACCCCCACCCTGCACTCTCCTCCTAATCAACTCTTCCCATCCCTTCTCTTACCCACCACTCACCCCCCCACCCAGCTCTGGGGAGACAAATTTTAGCAGAAAAAAAGGGAGGGATGGAGGGAAAGAGAGAGTGAGAGACGGGGCAGACGGAGGGAGAGAAAGAGAGATGCACTCCTCCTCTCTGCTCTGCTGCCACAGAGGCTCGGCTACAGAAGCCTTTGATGTTCTGCAAATTTCAAATTTCATTATAGAGAACTCCCTTCTCCTCTCCCCTGCTCCCTCTCCTCCCCCTCTCTGCTCTCGCGCTTAAACAAGCTTTTCTGCCTCACTCTCCCTCTGCCTCCCCCCCTCCATCCCCCAACCTCCTCCTCCGAAGCTGAAGTTAAGAAACTGAAAGCCCTGCAGAAGAGACTCTTCGTTTGGGTTAATTATTCATTGGGCTGTGCGTGTATGTGCCAAATGTATGTCTGTGTGTGTGTGTGTCTGTGCTACATGCGAGTGTGGCAGTGGGCTGGCATTGGGGCTGAATCTGGATTTCGTGACGACAGATGATCTCTGGTCATTTTAGGTCGCCTCCACCTTCTCTGCCGAATGCACTTCTCTTCCGAATAAAAGAGCATCGGCCTTTTTGGGATAAAACGCACACATACCCTCACACACAGCAACGGACAGACATGCAAAGCAAACCCCTGCTCCGTGGAGATGCCATTTTCAAGTCGGGCGTTCTTGAGACTCAGCATCAATGCAGCAAGGCAGCCATTTCAGAGCAGGAAGCTGCCATTTTGGTTCAGAGTGTGTCAGCTGCTTTGAGAAGAAGCGTGTCCCAGCGGCCCTCAGATGAAACTGGGGTGCCACCGAAGTGGTTGACAGATCGGTGGTGTCAGCAGCGTTGGTGAGGAGAGAGAAGCAGGGAACAGTCGCAATGTTGTTTCTCCTGTGGGTTTTTGTAAATGTGCGTATTTATGCGCGTGTCGGTTGATATTTGTGCTGTAATATTAACTCCATAAACCACTTGTTTTCTTAGCTGGGTTGTTCTTGCTTATTTTAACAAATTTCATAAGAAACTCACAACAAATAAATGTATATATGGTCGGAGGAGAATGTTAATGTTTCAGGAATAAAATTGTGTGTGTGTGTGTGTCAGTCATGGCCCTCTGATCTGATTGCCTCCGTTCTTTTTGGTTTTCTTGCTTCTCCTCCCCCACTTCCCCACCTTGCTGGTCCCAGCTGCCACTCCTATCTCACCTCTGACCCCAGCCCAAGGCCAAGGTTGGGAGGTTGTCGTCATAGCAACCTGGTAGCCCTGTGGCCCGTGACTGCTGACCCCCGGTGTCCTAAGTAACCATGACGATCATAATTTGCTCCCCTCTGCACCCCACAGCTTGTCCATGAATACCATTTAGAGAGCGAAGTGTTGTTCAAACCGAAGTGATGGAGGGATCAACGGATAGATGGACGGACAGATGGATATAAAGAACAAAAGGGGGACGCGTGTGCCACTGAAAGGGAGATTTAGAAACGAGGTTTGATGACCTATCGACCCCTTTTCCTCTCTTTCAGTTTAAGAAAGGGGACAATGATTAGATGTAGGTGGGGATCAACTAAACAAAGGTGGCGTTGCTTAACTAAACAGTATCCAACTCCGAGAGGTCGCCACTCCAGAGACTTTTGATTCTTATTGAAATAACTGGAACAACTCCACATTATACAGCCTAACCCCACTTAACGGCCGAAAAAGATTTTTTTTTAAATGATGGAAATATCATGTTTAGTTCATTCTGATAACATCTATGATTAAAAGTTATCTCTCAAAAAAAATGTTTTAGTCATTGTCTTTTGTCGTTTTCTTTTACCATTACTTCTAACTATTTTATATGCTTTATCGCTTATCTTAAATTGTACATTATTAGATCTTTTAAATGTTGTATTATAGTATTTGGTGTGTTTTGAATTATTTTGCCTGGTGTCTTCTCTTGTTACCCGTTTTGTTGATTGGTTTTCCAGCAGGATTACACAAAGAAAAACAAACCTGGCAGAAAGATCGGACCCAGGCCAAGAAAGAACCCATCAACATTTTGGGGCGGATAAGGACAAAGGAACCAAATAAATTCAGGCACATTAATGGGAACACTATGAGTGTGTACAATATGGGGAAAATCCAAATAATAATCTGGATCTAGTACATTTAAATGTGGTTTATTAAGGGGACTGTTGGGTCCTGGCAGAGGTATGTGGGCCAAACTAGTTTTTGTCCAATGTTTAAAAAATGTGCTACATATATAAAGTTATTATTAAATAGTTAATAAAAGTTACATTGGGGTCATGTGTTTTATGCTATGTGTGAATACTAAATAACAAATTGCAATAAATGTTCTGCCACTACTGCTTTACTTTTCCCATGGTGCTCCCTGCTTGAGTAAATGTCATAATGAAACCTTGTGATGGCTGTGTGAGCATTATACCTGCTGGAAGGCCACTTTGCTCTTCAATGCAAGCTCCAGTTGAGCGGGGCTGGATGTGTAAATAGCTGAACGATACTGAGAACCCTGGTCACTCTGCTGCCTCATACCTGCATAAACACACACAAAGAGAAAATAAGGCTCCCAACAAATGCACAGAAGTGCCACGATAATTGCATGAAAACGGTTTTCACAATTGTGTCATCATCCTGCATCTTGAATTGATGAAGCTAAATGAATTCAGAGATCACAGTAGATTCGGCTTTCATTAAGGAGGCCTGCGGTGTGTAGGTGTATGGGCTCATGTAGGTGGGTGCATTCTCTTTTTTCTCTTTTGTCATCCATGTGGCACTGTCAACATTTTCATCAGCTTTACATCAGTGTGTTTGGAAGGAGGCCCAGGCCTAGTGTACCTTGATGAGGATGCCATCACTTCTATGCTTTTCAGATCCTACAATGCTGCGACAATAGCAACTTTTGCATCCTCGGACCTCTCTCGATGGCAGCTTTTTCCTCTGTCTTCATCTCTCACCATCTCTCCCACTCAACCTTTATTTCTTGTTGTTACAGAGTAGCATCCCTCTGTTACAGACGTCTGATGTGTTACACACAATAACACGTGATCTCCACAGCAGAATTTATACACTACTTCCTGCCTCTGCCTGTATGCCACCCTTGACCTGAACCCCCTTGAGATGTCTGCGTTGTTGTGAACGCGTCTAAGTGGAGAAATCTCTGCTGCTTCGTGCATATGTGAAAGGCAACCACCGGAGAAAGTCCAGACCTACATCTCCGGACATCCTCCTGAGACTGAAATGGGCTCAACAGAGGCTGAGTTATTCCAAATAACAGACCTCCAGCTCTTTCCTGCCACGATCACTGAAGTTGCTCAAACCTTGTCCGCTGGTCAGTGATTTCGAAACAAGGTGCAAAGATCCATAGAAATAAATATCAGAGGAGACAACAATGAAAGGCCTGCTGCTTCTGCATGCAAAACCTTTTACATGCAACTTATTTGCCAAATAACAGTTTCTACATGTGTGTCTTTTTATTGTGTCCATTTTTCAATCATTGTATTTTGTATTTGTTCTTTTGGCCACTTGTGGGAAGCAAAACATGCTGTAAACACAACAACATGTTTTCTCACCTTATAAAGCCAATATGTGAACATGTTGGCAAACAATTGCCTATTTACACATCAGACACTCATCCACATTAGCATTCGTTTGGAGTTGTGTTTGTCTCCTTCCGATACATAAGAGTCCAACATTCACTTTCCTTTTAGCTCTATTTTGCTCGCCACCAACCCCTGAGGGAGATTTCTGGCCTCTTAGCTGCTAAATTCTCCACCATGTTCAGCAGAAAACTGCTGACATTGTCCATCTGATGCTTGGCAGGTTGTGTACAGGGAGGTTTTGTGAGTTTCCTCTGCTGAAATGAGCAGACGGCTGGGGCTGAAAATGAGGATGATGAAGGTGGTGAGACTGAACAGTAACGTTGATGGCTGTAAAACCTAAACAATCATCTAAAAGATACACAAATCTGACAGACAATTTACGGTGGATATTTGATCTGTTCGGAATAAAAAGAGCAGCTTTAAACTGATGAAACAATCCATCTTCAATCTGTAATGAATAGTCTGAGTGATGAAATAGTGTTTTGCACATCAGTAGGTGTAAATATGTCAGGTCTACTGAAAGCAGAGACAAGATCCTTAGATAGACACCTACACATTTTAACCAATCATACTGCAGTGGCTCCTCGCCAAATCTGCTGTGTTGTTTCCCCACAGTTTCTTTTCGGAGATAAGGTCTGTGGGCAATTAAAGTTTTTAATGTTTTCATTTTGTCAAACAACGGTTAGGTTAATATCTTGTATGCATGGGAGAAAACAGATTTTTATTTAATGTGCAGACAAGCATGGGGCCAAAAGACGCTGACACCTCCCTGACAGTGTGATCTGCAGGTCTTGTTCTCTTTCGATTAAATGTTACCTTACTCTCATGGAGAGTCACAACCGTCCTGTGACACAGTCTGTTCAGATAAAATAGCTAAAAGTATTCATCTGGTCTTCAACCATTTTAAAAAACATTTTGTTGTGGAGATTACAAAATCAGCAGGCTCCGTTCAGTACAAATAATATTCCTTTTAATATCTTTAAGAAAAAAATAGCAGCCCTAAAACAAAATGGAGGCCTGTATCGCTGTAAAGTGGCTGACTCAAGCTGTGTATAAGTCAGGGGTCGCAGCCTTTGGGAGACTCTCCAATGGTCTATTCCTCACATTTGTAGACCAAGTACAGTAGACCTAGTAGGTATACAGAGGATTTCCTATTTGCGTCCCCAGTTTGTCCCCTTTGCAATATAACATAAGCTAATTTGAGCAGCAGTTCTGATTCCCTCATTAGTTTCCAGGTTCTAAGTCACTGTAGTAATGAACAAACTTTGACCCAATATTGATGGGAAATAACTACAACTATTGATTTATCAGGAGTGGGATGTGAATGAGTTCATTTTTTTTCTTGATTAATGTCTCATCTATTCTTTCTCTTATTTTTCTCCCTCCATCTCTGCATCTCCCTTCACCCTCTTTCTCTGGATGTCAGCCATCTTGCTCCCAGCACTGTTGTTCAGTGACGAGACTAATGGTGGCCCCTTCATCAAAGGCCACCAAGCCACTTTGCCATTGGCTGCCCACCAGAGCCTTTACTCTGATTGGCTGGCTGGAAGGGGTCTTGTGGCTTTACTGTTCTCTGACCTTCCCTGCTGACCCTGAGGTTCTGACCAACAAACACACACACCTAAACACACAAACACACACACACACACACACACACACGAACAAGATTATGTATGTTCAAATTATGCATAATAATTAAGAGAAGGCAACCATCATGTATCATCAAACTAATGGTTTGAATGCTTTAATTTCATTAGAGCTGAACAATCCCTTTTCTCCCTTGCAAAAAAGATACAGCTTTAATTTAAAAACGTGAAGTCAGGAAAGGCTTTTCATCTCAAAGAAATGCTTGAAGATATGGAATATCAGAGAAAAGTCAGGAGACTAAAAACCCTTGAGTTGTAATAGTTGTTTCTGACACAAAGACAATTAAGATTAATCTCGGCTTCAGAGCTGCCTCCGCCATCAGAAGAATAGCTCGTTATTTCCTAATCAAAATATTAACACTATCCCAAACATCAGCCTGGCTTTTGATTTTATTATACCAACCCTGAATCCTTCCCCACAAGCGTTCAGTCCTCAAAGAACTACAACAGCAACAATACCACCCAAAAAAAAAACCTCTGGTTCTTTGCTCCCACCGCCATCTCTCTCCATTTTTAACAGCCCCCTTCGTTATTTTCTCCATCCATCAAAGGCGGCAGTAATTATTAATGAGAGCCTCCCTGTTCTCTCTGCATTATGCATGAGAGCCTTGCCTCTGAAAGCAGAGGGTAATGGGGGGTGGACAAAAGGGGAGGGGCTACGGGTCACACACATGCACACATCCACGCACACACACCGCCTCTCGGGGTCACTGACCTACACCCACAAGAGCCAAAAATATTTATTAATTGCTTCACCCCTAAGTCTGGAAATTTAAAAGTCAACACAAATGGGAGACAAAAATCAGACAAAGTGGGAGGATGGAGGGGGAGGGAGTGTGTACTCCCTCCTTCATTCATGAACATAACTACGATAACGTACCACTGCATGTTAATAAATGTGCATTTCTTCTGGTGTTCACGCTCGCACAAGAATAAAAATGGCTTCGCTCAGACTGTTGGGATAAGAGCCCGCTACTTCATCCGATTCCAACTTCCACCTTCTCTCCTTCTTACTGAAATTTGTCCCCATTCACTTTTCTTTCATGGCTCTTTCCTTACCCTTCCCCTCACTGATGTCCTTCCAACATCCATCCCATGTGTATATACGTTAGTGTGTTTGAAGATTGGTGAAAGAAAGCAGGGTGGGCATAGTCGGACTTGGGGTTTTAGTTAAAAGTAAAAAGGGAAAATTAAACAGAAAGTGTTTCAGATTCGGTTGCTACGAAAACTGGACAGTAAGGAAAAGAGAAGACAGAGACAGAGGAAGAAATTACAGGCCGAGAAAAAGTGAGGGGACTCTACCAATGTGTGTCATGCTTTTACTTGTCCCTTTCTTCTTGCACCTGAATCTGACACGGCCTCCTCTGGTGTCTTTTCCACAATGATCTGTGAGTAACAGCTAAGATTAGCCCAACCTCTCCACCTCTTTAAGTAATGTCCCTCCTTCACCTCTCTCACTCCCTCTGTATTTCAAGAAGGGCAGTCAGCGCTCAAATACATGTAAAACAAGAGGAGATTGCAAATGAGGAAACAAACAAATAAACATTTCAAGATATTGTCAGTGTCTACAATTGAGAAATGTTTCTGCATAATTGGTGACTTTTTGCATCCTTCTGAGTGCGGAGGAAAAAAACATATGAAGTGAATTTGGAATTACTGCACTCAGCAGCGCGTACCAATTAGACTGCGGCAGAGTGAGTGCTAATGAAACAATCTAATATAGTTTCTTTTCTCTTTTACCTCCCACTGACTCCAACTCCCTGCACTGTCATTCAATTTAATATCAACCTCACTTCAGGCCAAGGAGGCAAAAACCTTTTTTAAGCACTTTGAAAAATCAACACTGACCAGCGATCGTCGTTTCAACCATTTTGTCACCAAAGTACACTGTGTGTGTGTGTGTGTGTGTGTGTGTGTGTGTGTGTGTGTGTGTGTGCGTGCATGATAATACTCAGCGTTGTGCTGTGCTGTGCCCTGCGGTCCCGTTACAACTGTGTGCGTGCCAGTAGAGCGCTCTCCTCCTCTCCTCTCTCAGCTGCTATTTTTGCCCTGTTCTTATGTAAGCTGCTCCTGACGGGCTGGAGACAGAGGCAGAGTACGGGAGCTGGGATGGTGAGAGCATCCCCAGCAGATAAACACGCACACACACAGTCTGCACGTGCAAACACACACATACACAAACATACATGCATTGTGTGTTTGTTATATATGCATAGGGGACTGAATACGTGACATATGCAAGAGCAAAACAGAAAGCGATGCTCTGCTGGCTGTCAGATGGTGACAC